TGGCCTGGAGAGAGCGAGAGAAAAGGAGAGAACTCCGTTGACTCGCCCTCTAAGCGCCTCGGCTCGCATGCGTCACCCCAAACGACCGTCTCGTGTGGCAACCGCAGAAACGGGATAGCGGGGGTTAGACCCGAGGCCTACTTTATTTGAGAAGGCCTCGAACCTCGAGCGCAGTGCTTTTAGCCGTAGGCTATCACAGTGTCGACAATCAAGAGAGGCCGCTAAGCGCCGCTTGGGCGTGTTGTAGGCCCAAACATTGTACGCACCTGTCATGAGTGTCTCCTCCTGCGATGAACCTGTCACACGGCTCGATGCATCTCCTGTAGCTCATCGTGTCCGCTGAAGAGGAGTAAACTGCTCTTAGAACAAATTAGCTGAGAACACGATAAAATAACGCTTTCCTACGGGCGACAGATGATTCACTTCCTGAAGGAAATGAAATCTGATGGAAATAGCATGCAGCACGCTATATAGCTCACCTACGTGTGCATTGGGGGCGGTGCTAAGCGCTATTTGGCCAATAAATTCGCGTGATGGTATAAGGGCTTCAGACATTCGTCACACCGAAGATGTTCCCAAAGCGATGACGTCATCGCAGCATCGAAGTGAGCCTATGAGAGGGAAATAGTGACACAGACCGTGTCCATAGTGTCATTGTGTCGCCTGCCAATGACGTCATAACCCCTCGATTTCCGGTTTTGTTTTGTAGAAAACATGGAAACACCAAAGACGCTTTAATATGTTGTGTGTTTTAATAGACCGGTGACGACTGCACAGAGTAGCATTATAACAGAACTTTTAAACGTATCTACTATGATAAAACTGCTGCTTTACATATAATCCTAAATATTCATCTTTCCAGATATATTTTGTAAATAAGAGTTGCTTTAATAATGTCCTTGTGAGTTTTTGGCCTATTCATCATTGCGATACTATGAAATCTACTTCTGCCTCTGAGTAATAAAAGGTAATTAATGGCAATTAATTATTTCCTCATAATTGCAATCTGATCTCCCAATTGTGACTTTAAATCTCACAATGTAATTTCATATCTCTACTGCAGCTTGATGTCTTGGAAATGCACAGTTGTGTCAGTGTTAGATGCTGTCTTGGACACTTATGGTTTTAGTTGCTTACTATCTGGGTTGTGTCATTTCCCCCAGTTTGTTACAGTGGACTTCACTGTGATATGTGATCCAAAGAGGGTTCACGCTCTGCTGTCTTGTTTGTCATGGAGTGTCTCTGTTTTCGTGACTGTAACGTTAGCATTTATCTTATCGGTGGTTTTAGTTAAAAAAAAGTGATATTGTGCAATCAAGCAACTGAACAAGGGTAGATTAGAAATAAACGCGTATGTTGGTAATGTTAATTAGAAGATAAAAGGAAGACTTAACGGTACCAACCATAACATGAAGTTAACAACAGATTTTCACATCTTGTCAGAATATTACACGTCACGAAGATAATGAGTATGTGTCAACTCCTCTGGCTATTACAGACATTATAATTCTGGTGTGCTTAGCGATATAGTGTGTTAGATAAAAGAATGCCGATGATTGAATGAATGCCGGAAGTGATTTCCGCTTAGGTAAAAAGGGCTGTAATGTTCCTGATGCGCACGTGGCGCCGTGGCTTAGTTGGTTAAAGCGCCTGTCTAGTAAACAGGAGATCCTGGGTTCGAATCCCAGCGGTGCCTTTTGAATGCGTTTCATGCAACCTTTAACGTTACACTGCTCTGATAATAATGATTATTTATTATTCTTTTTATAATCTTTTTTCCCTCAAGGAAATATCTCTCAGGTTTGGTCATTTTAATGCCAGCTTCTGTTTAGGCACATACTGTATATGGCTACAAAAAAGCGATCATCCAAATCTATGTTTACCTGCAAAATGCAGAGGGTCAAACAAACAATTATTAAACATAAACCAATTAGTAAAACAGCAACAGCGGTAACATAAAAAAAAAGATTTTACCATTGTTTTGAGCAACAAAATCTTCAGTAACTTTACAATAACAACACTGTATTATAAAATTATTATGAAATTGTCTACCCTTGTTAAATAGCTGACCCTTGTCAGAAAATGCAATTAGTGTTGACTTGTTTCTCTCAACAGCAGTTTTAGTTTGTATGACAGAAAACAACGTTTTGTACTGGAGCTGTAACGTTACCCAGAGCTGTTTCTCAAATCAAAATGAGCTACAGCACGCCCTCTGGTGGCAAACAGTCAATAGAGACGTTTATTTCGTGTTTTAGGTTTATTACGCATGCAGAAATTCATTCGTCAAACATCAGGACCATTAAAATAGTGATTTAAAGTCGTTAACGTCGTACAACTTAGGAAAAGCAGTCACAGCATCTAAAAACATGCTCTTCCTATACGCATGTCTATAGTATAATTCAGATCATTTCATATATAACTGCTAACATAAAACATATAGCTGCAAACACTATATTTTTTTTTATTGTGATTAATTTGAACATTTGTACTTAAAATAATAATTATTATTATAGCAGAGAATGTTAGGATTTCTAATAGGACGATAAATATTACAATAACACTATAAATCATATCTGCACACCACTATAAATCCATATACTTTCAACTAAAACAATCTTGCTAACTCATGATGAATGGCATCGAGTGGGTTACGACAATTTTATGGTGGGCGTTGCTAAAAGGGACAAACATTGAAATCTGCAGTCTGTGTCAGATTTCAGCCTTTTCGTTTTCTCACAGCGAAATAAATCCGAGCTTCAGCGGTGCGGTAAGTGCATTTCCGTAAATGCAAAGTACAAACCGATTAAAGACTATAATGCAGAATGCGGTGTGCGTGATTGTCCCTAGCAGCATTAGTACGCGCTACTTCTACCGAATGCTTTTGCTATTTGAATCACGTGATTCATTCACATAACATTTCGTTTGAAAGACTGCAGAATGTGGAGCATTCAAGTGCCAGATCTCAATTTTAGCCTATTTAATCTAATTGTACTTGCAGAGTCTAAAAAGAGTTATTGGTGAATTTTACAGATAGTTGTCGTCGACTATAAATGAAAGTGCAGACTGTTTTGATTTCATGTTCACCCAGCAGAACGCTTCCATAACGTTAGCACATGCTTCGGTTATTTTTCGGGAACCACATAATAATATTCTACAAACGTTCTCTGTTTTGTAACAAAAAACGAACCTTTGTAGAACGTAACAGGGAGTTTTTATAACAAGCTAAAGTCAAGAGAACCTATACAGAACGTTATGTGCTTATTGTGTTTTATGTTATAACCAAAAAACTAGCGTTCACAGAAAGGTCTGGTTTGCTGAAAAAGAAAAGGTTTGCTAGGTAAGTTAATTCCAGTTTGTGATTTGTGATTTCACGAAATAAATACAGCCTGAAATAACATTGCATATGTAACAATGCAGCTATATATTTGATGCACAAAATATCTAAAGTGTATATTATAATAATATACACTTTAGATATTTCGTGTATCAAATATAATGTAGGCTATTATTAAGATCATTCCGTCTCATAAATAGTATTATTAATAATAAAAGAATAAAAGATGATCACAGCACAAATAAACATGGTCACAAATGTTTTGAATAAGTAACTTACTGAATGACATTATAAAATTGTAGATTTAACAAAAAATATTTGCATTAACATAAAAATAATCAGTTTTTATAACCCCCCCCACAATCGCCTTTCAGATTTTAAAGTATGTTCTTCATTGTTTGCAACTATATATTAAATATTTTTGGCCTCTGTTTACAGTTGTGACAAGGAATAACCCACATACTGTCACAAACTCTTTTATTATTATTATTAATTTTCATTGAATTTATTTTTCAAGAAGAGGCATACAGTTTTTGGAAAATTGGGATTAAATAAAACGAGCTCACAATGCTTTCCTTTTTATGAACAGATGGCAAATGAAGCAAAGCCCTGTCCATGTGATATCGGGGACAAGATTGAATATGGAGGTCTTGGAGAGGAAGTTCAAATCGAGCACATTAAAGCTTATGTGGTGAAGCCTCCAGCATCAGAGAAGGCCATTATTGTAATTCAAGACATTTATGGATGGCAGCTACCAAACACCAGACACATGGCTGACATGCTCTCAGCCAATGGATACATGTAAATATCTGATTTCTGTTTTTTAAAATATGAAAACGGTTGCAGATATACCTGTTCTTACTTGATTCTTTTGCAGTGCTATATGTCCAGATTTCTTTGTTGGAAAAGAGCCATGGAGCCCATCTCACGACTGGTCAACATTTCAGCAGTGGCTTGAGGACAAAAAGCCTACAGACATCAAAAAGTACAAATTCAATAAATGAAATGTTCCTATCTGATGAACTTGACCATACCTTTGAAGGAAAGACTAAACAATCTTGTCATTTAACCAGGGAAGTGGATGTTGTATTGAAGTATCTGAAGGAACAGTGCGGTGCGAAGCATATAGGTGTTGTGGGCTTCTGCTGGGGTGGTGTTGCGACACACTACATTGGTCTTCAGTATCAGGAAATCAAAGCTGCTGTCTCGGTCTATGGTAATCCATTTGTTGTGTCTACTTGAACAGTCAAAGACACAGGAAATATGTGGCAAGATGCTTTCTGCAATCCAAGAAATTGTAAATATAAACTCCTTTTACACAGGTATCGTTAGAGAGCGGGAAGACAGGTTTGATCTCAAGAGCCCAACCCTCTTTATCTTTGCGGAAAACGATGCAGTCATTCCACTTGATCAGGTAAGCTGAGGTCAAAGCACCATATATTCCATATACATACAGTGTTGGGAAGGTTACTTTGGAAATGTAATAGGTTAGATTACAAGTTACCCTACTTAAAATGTAATAAGTAGTGTTACTTTTCAATTACTTTATTAAAGTAATGTAACTGATTACATTTGATTACTTTTCTAAATTTCTAATGTTTTCAACTATTAATCATCATTGGTGTTTCAATTTATGAAAGAACTCATTTAAATCTGTATGTGGGAGTGTGCAGGAAAAAATCTGATGTAACCCCCTTTGTAATCCTTAACATTTTCATAAGTAACTGTAATTTAATTACAAAGTTTTTCTTAGTAACTGTAACTGATTACAATTACTTTTATTTTGTAATTAAATTACGTAATTCCGTTACATGTAACTAGTTACTCCCCAACACTGTATACATATATATTCCATCATAGTTCTTTCCACATCCTATTGATTTATTAATGCCACGGTAAGGATTATGTTACATGGATAAGCTTTATTTAATTTGCACCTATCGAATGCTTTACTTTCAGGCCAAACAGCTCAATTTAAATATAATCAGATCAATTTTCTTTCAAATGAATTTGTAGTATCCTATTACAAATACAGTGTAGCATTCAATCTAATATACTTTTATTTGAATATCAGTTCTAAAGGATAAGAAATAATAAATGGGGGTAAATGTATTCATGAATAAACTTGTATCAGGGCCATAAACTTTGCACAGATAAATCAGTTAATGTTTATTGTTCTCGTACTTTTAACCAAGGTGACTACACTAGAGACAAGACTGGAGGAAAAGTGCACTGCTGACTTCCAAGTGAAAATCTTCCCAAAGCAGACACATGGGTTTGTCCATCGCAAGAGACAAGACATTAATCCAGATAATAAACCTTATATAGAGGAGGCCAGGACAGATATGATCAACTGGTTGAATAAGTACATGTAAACTGCAATGGGTTAAAATAACTGATGTGAAGGTTAAATATTCTCTAATGGCAAAGTCTGATGATAAAAATCAATCATTGTGCACCAGCATTAACTTCAAACACACTTTTGCAGTTGTGTGTATGTATTTTTGGATGATGAACTCTACTCGAGATTCCAACATTAAGAAAGTGACAACCAACAGAAACAAATCTGAAAACAAAAGTTTAATGATCACTTCGGTACTACATTGAACTGTATCAAATGATAAATAACAGTACGAAGGTTCGACATTCCTTTAGAAGTGCTTGAGACTGTTCATTTCACCACAGCTACACGACGCTCAGTCTTCAGGCTCGCCGGGGCCCCTGATGTCATCAATCTTCAGAATCATCTTGACTACTTGAGTGGCCAGAGAAATCTGCTGTTTCTTTCCAATGAGGGTCTCAATCACATGCTGTTGCTTCATGTCTGCAAAGATTTAAGTCAAATTAAATGCTAATTATCAACAAAGACTGATTAAATTGATCAACAGTGACACTGAAGAATTTAACAAAAATAGTTAACTTTGTTCATCAAAAAACCTTGGAAAGAAAATGTATTATAGTTTCCACAAAAATAGTAAGCAGCACAATTGTTTTAAACATTTATAATGAGAATAAATATTCCTTGAGCACCAAATCAACAAATTCGAATGATTTCTGAATGATCATGTGACCCTGAAGACTGGAGTAATGGCGGCAGAAAATTCAGCTGTCATCACAGAAATAAATTACATTTGAAAATATATTTAAAATAGAAAACTGTAATAATATTTCACAATGTTACAATTTTTACGGTATTTTTGAACAAATAAATGCAGTCTTGCTGCACACAAGAGACTTCTAAAATATTTAAAAATCTTAAACATTTGAACTGTAGTGTATATAAAACTTTTTTAAATAGCTTCTTCCCCCCACTTCCCACAAGTACTAAAAATACATTTCTTTACCTGCTGTTTTTCTTAAATTCATACATCTGTTTACAATTTCATATCACTAAAGTAAAATAAAGAAGTCCATACCATTTGTTGATAAATGTAGGCAATCAATTCCAAGTGCAGGGTTGTTTTCCTTGACTTGTCGGGCTCTGACCTCTGTCATTGTTTGAATGGGGTTCAAACCACTGTTCTCGGCCAGTGCCATAGGAATGACCTCCAGAGCATCAGCGAACGCTCTCATGGCATACTGTTCCAGAGAGGGGCACTGGAATAGAAGCAGAGCATTTTAAACACAGACCTAACACATCTCTTGCACCTCAGGACTGAGAGCGTGTGGAGTACAGATGACTCTAAATATAGTATACCTTATCAGCTGCCTGGTTGACTGCAAGAGCACAGGAGATCTCTGATGCACCGCCACCGTACACAATGCGGTTATCCCTCACGAGGTTACGGATGACGCACAGAGCATCATGGAGAGCTCTCTTAGCCTCTTCAATAATCTAAATGATTCAGATGAATAGGCGAAGGAGATGACAAAAACATTGTAACAGTGATACAAAAACAGACTTAATATCTTGAAGGGGTAAAACATCCCAATTTAGCTCTTAAAACTCTTTACCATTTTGTTCCCGCCACGGATGAAGATCGTCACAGCTCTGGAGTTCTTGCATTCCTCAATAACCAGCATTCTGTCTTTAGTGGTCCCAAAGCAGATTTCCTTCACCAGTCCAGCAGTGCCCAACTTCTCTGGAGTCAGCTCGCAGAATCGGGGCACGATACGTCCTCCGGTAGCAATGGCGATGAGCTGGAAATGTTTACATAAAATCTCAAGTTTGTTCATACTTCCAATAACCCATCTGTACTATACACAATGATATAAAAAAAAATCTGGAGTCAGTACTTTTTTTGCTGTAAGAAATTAATACTTTGATTCAGAAAGGATGCAATAAATTGATCAAATGTGACAAAGACATTTATAGTGTTACAAGAGAGTTCCATTTTAAATAAATGCTGTTCTTTGAACATTATATTAATCAAGGGATTCTGACAAAAAAAAAGTACCATTTTCTACAAAATGCAGCAACGGAAGAAATGTTTCTTGAGCACCAAATGTGCATTTTCGAATGATTTCTGAAGAATCATGTGACAATGAAGACTGGTGTAATGATGCAGAAAATTCTGACCCAAAACTTTTGATCAGTAGTGTTCTGCAGTATGGTTTTTACAAACCTCAATCTCAGGTCCACCGACCCAGCGGATCGCAGGAAGCTCATTCTGCAGAAGTAAGTGATTGGCTTCATCATCAAATCCCCACTGGCAGATGGCAAGATTAGCCCCGTTCTCCTTGACCTTTAGAAGAAGCGTTTTAACAGGAAAAAATACAAAAAGAATTACATTCAATTATATGATCAGTGTTAAATATTTATGATAAAAATCAAACTCAAGATGCAAATTAATGCAATTTAATTCTGATTAAAACTGGCCTGATTATTCCACAATATTCAAAACGTAGCTTTAAATAACTTTACTGAAGGGGGCTGTCATGCAAAATGAGAAAATGTCATTATTGCTAGTAAAAAAAAGGAAAACCATTGGTTTTGATCTTCTTAAAATACACACAAAATCTGATCCTAACTTCTATTAAAGATTCCTGTTTTATATATGTTCTCTTCTATTTTATAACTTTATAAAAATATTCTGAAATACAAATTATAAATACATACTACATCTTGATGTACAATATTAAATTAATAATGCATACTAAATAAAATAATAAATTAAAACAATACCAAAATTACCTTAGGAAAGCATGTAAACAGAAGCATACAACATACAGACCTGTCGAATCATTTCCTCAAACTTCTCCTTCTCATACTTCTGCAGAGCTTTGTAGTCCTCCACTGAGGTCACATCAAGCTTATGCTTGGTTTTGGGCTTGGGGGGCTCAAATGGGCAGGTGAGGATGGCGATTTTTGTGTCCTTCAGTACCTGCATGTACATGCTTATTAACAAAGACTTTACATATGATAATCATGCCATGCATATGCAACCAGAAATGAATATTAATAGTAAACACAAACCTTGGGCATCTGAGGGTGACTGAACTCTTTGTCCACAATGACACCTTTGATGAGCTGAGTATCCTCTAGTTTACCACCGACTTTTCCTTCAACTTTGATAAGCTCGAAGTCAACATCCTTCCTCTCCATGTCAGCCACTGTCAGGATGGCATTGACAGCGATCTCTGCCATCTGTCTGTGGCACCGGTTGATTCTACAAACCAAAAAAAATATTTTTCTTAGAATATTCTCATTAGCTGTTAATTTAAAAAAACTTCTAAGACAGACACTCACACTTTGGATCCTAGCGTGGTCATGGCTGTCTGAATAAGAGGCTCTGTGTTGTTGGGATCCACTGGGAAACTGTCACCAATTTCGTCGAGCTGCTCAATGGCAATCTTTGCGGCCTGGTCATAACCATCGGTGATCCTGATGGGGTGAATGCCTCTGTCCAACAGCTGCTCGGCCTGCTCTAGAAGAGCTCCTGCCAAAACTACAGGGCCAAACAAACACATTAGACCACAAAAGCTACACTGGGTAAGCAGAAAACGTACTTTTCTTAAAAAACATACTACTGTATGTGACCCTGGACCACAAAACCAGTCTTAAGTAGCACGGGTATGTAGCAATAGCCAAAAATAGATGTATGGGTCAAAATGCTTTTTCTTTTATGACAAAAAATCATTAGGATATGAAGTAAAGATCATGTTCCATTAAGATATTTTGTACATTTTCTACTGTAAATATCAAAACTTAATTTTTGATTAGTAATATGCATCGCTAAGAACTTCATTTGGACAACTCTGAAGTAGGGATGCACCGATGTATCGGCCGATTTTTGATTATTTTAAAGCCATCGGCATATCGGACATAGCATGAAAAGGGGCGATACTGATGGTTTATTAATTAAAAGCATGGAGACAACGAGTAGCATGTCTGTTGCATAATCCAATGTTTTTCAAAATAATTAAATACTTTCCAAAACAAAATAAAATCTGTATAAAATATAGTTTGTCAGACGGCATAGTACGGCCATATGCAAACGTGACGCTGACGCATCCAACGAGTGAAATGCCCGCTCTCAGCTGTGAACTCATCATAGGTAAGTGGCAATGGCAATGCACCGGCGTTAGAGTTTATCCGAGGATATGTCACGAACCGCCAAGCATTAGGCCTACATTTGAGTGAAAATGAATGGCAGGTAATATGCAGCTTTTTGTTTGAAACCAGTGTAGAACACGGATTCACACAAGGTCACATCACGCACCTGCAGCGTTTCTGTGAACGGAGAAAACAGAATAAAACGATATAGGCTACATAAAAAGGAATATATAGGCCTATACACAAAATATATTTCACTTAAATCATTAACAGATTAACAAAGCGAAAGAAAAAAATTGTGCTGAGTTTTGGATAATTGTAACGCGCTCCGAAGTTCATGGGGAAAAACAACAAGACGGCAGAAAGCAGTTTTCTTTATTTTGCAAAAGCTTTACAGTTTTGAATGATGTTTTGCTTCTATCTGTATTACAAACCAGCGTTGGTATGGCCATACATTACGGAATAACTGTTGGGAAAACAATGCAGTGATCGCGTCAGTGCCTCACACGCACATACAACAAAGTTTTGCTAATTTGACATCGTAGCCTGTTCATTATCAAAATAAAATAGTTAAACATAAAAAGTTACACTGCTCAATTTAAAAAGTCTGTAGTACAGTCTGTGCCGTTCAGTTTGACCAGCGCCTCACTGCTGATATAGCCTATATGTGAAGGATGATGTTTTATGTCGATAATGCGAGAGTGAAGAACAAAGCCTATAGTTTACATAATAAATAATAGGTTAGCATCCAGATACTTCGCGAATATGGAAACATTTGGATTTGTGCAGAATGAGAGAGGTAGGCTTCAGTTTCTTTTAAATTAATTCGTTTTGGTTTGACGCTTATATTTAGCCTAAATACAACTTTAGAGGATTTGTTGTGGAGAGAACGGAACTAAAATAGCCTAATTGCGTTTGTTATTTTGCTTTTATTTACCATTATTTTAGACTACATTATTTCTGAATGTAATAATAAAATGTAACGTACAGCCTACTAATTTAGGCTGTTTTTTTCCCCTCTCAAAAATGCTTATAGGAGTAGCGTTTTTTGTCCAAGCTGAAACATTTTTAAATATATTGAAAAAAATTATTTAAAGCTGCAGTCTGTAAGTTTTGCCTCTTTGTTGCCATCTCTGTTTGAAAACCTGCAATTGCAGCTGTGTGTGGAATTATTTTCCTTGCATGGGTTGTGCGGCGGCACAGCTCCAGCGCGGATGAATCTAATGTTTTGAGGTGAATGTATGGCAGTCAGTCACCGCACTGGTGTGGATATTTACTATACTTCGCAATCACAGATTCTAGCCTACGTCTTGGAATATGACCCAAATAAGAATTTTCACCGGATACTGTCATCTGAACAAGTTACAAGTTTGCCACGTTTGTTCTGACCAACTGATGAAAAAAGCATTACAATAAAATCGAGCTACCAATGGTGATTTAATCTAATTAGCTTATATCACATCAAACTGTGCAAATTATTATTATTGTTATACTTTATTCTCAAATTGTTAATGTTAACAACATCAGCATTGCGTGACTGAGTAAAAATTTAATTTCATTCACATGCGTTTTATAAACACATCTGGATTACAATCCACCATCAAAATTATACATTTAATTATTCTAGCTGCTGTGAGAAAAGGCTATAAACGATCCTCCACCTAAGCTAACCGTTGTGAAACAGGCTAAAGTAAGGTGATGGTTTTGAACACTGGATGGTTATGTACTTGCTCAAATATAGATTTCGGATCATTTTTAACCAAAAAAAAGTTACGGACTGCAGCTTTAATGTTTTTATTGAGTTGACAGTTTTTTCTTTTGTTTAATACATTTGTCTTTGGTAAATCTAGAAAAGATTATGCTGTATTGGCTATGACTAAGCGAGATCAAGACTCTCTTCATGAATTTTTTGTTGTTTTTGAGTAAATTAAACGCTGTACTTTATTATTATTGGCAAAGAAAAAGTAAAAAAAAAAAAAGTAGGTTAATAACCGGTATGTTTTCTACTCAAACCGGTTTTAACAGAGGAACGCAGGAACAGAAACGTTCAAATACCGATTCTGCTCAGAGTTCCCCCCCCTCGTTTTAAAGCCCTGCTTTATGCAACTGACCAATATCGGTATCGGAACTGGTCAATAGTTGTTTGTTAAAATCGGTATCGGTCAAAAAAAAAAAAAACCCTATCGGTGCATCCCTACTTTAATGGCAATTTTTTTTGCACCCTCAGATTCCAGATTTTCAAATAGTTGTATCTCAGCCAAATATTGTCCTATCCTAACAAACCATACATCAATGGAAAGCTTATTTATTCAGATGATTCATAAATTTCAATTTCCAGGGTCACATATAGTACATTTGAGGTACTTTAACATATAAAAAAAAGTTATCTACTATAGCTTACAACCAAGCGAACATGGAATCTACATATTTAAAAATAACATTTAAATTATCTTATCAAAACAAATAATAATAATAAAACAATATACACTACAGTTAAAAGTTTCCAGGTCAGATATTTTTAATGCTTTTGAAAGACTGCTCGTTGTCGCCAAGGTTGCATTTATTTGATCCAAAATACAGAAAAAAAAAACAGTAATATTGTGAAATATTATTACAATTTGAAATAACTGTTTTCAGTTTAAATGCATTTTAAAAATACATTTATTCCTGTTATGCCATAGCTGAATTTTCAGTATGAAAATCGTTCTAATATGCTGATTTAGTGTGTATGAAACATTACTATAATTTATATACATTTTCCTCATTTTAGCCAGGCCCTGTGTAATTTCTGTCCCTGATACAAACTTCTGATACATGTACACATTAGAATACTTACTAAACAAACATGCAGGGGGGAATATGTAGAGGTTCATGGATTTAAAAAGCCAAATTCTGCATCCTATGTGCAGTCAATTGTTTATATGTTTAATAAGAAGAAGAGGGAGGTGTTAAGGCGAAGTGAACTCACCAACAACACCAGTAGTTCCATCTCCAATTTCATCATCTTGAGACTTGGAGAGTTCTACCATGAGCTTGGCAATCTGATGGTCCACATCCATCATGCTGAGGATCGTCGCACCATCATTGGTCACAGTCACCTCACCATCCTTATCCACCATCATCTTGTCAAGTCCTGTAAACAACAATCATTTACATTACGAAAACCGCAAGGAACGGACTAGCAAGGCTACATGCAGAATTGAGGACTTACCATTTGGCCCAAGTGATGTTTTCAGGGTGTTTGCAACTGCTTTTGCTGCCATTATGTGAGACTGAAATGTGCAGGTTTAACATTAAAATATGCGTGTCACAAACAACCAACTTCTTGACAGGATTCTTGACAAATAATCATACTTTAATTCGTAGAAAAATTAAGTCAAAGTACAGTTACAGCTGTCTTATGTATATATAAAAAAATGTTTCATGTCTCCCTGACTACGCATCATGACTCTACACCGCTAGAGGAAGCACATGGACCATCCGCAGGTTGGCATGAGGTGCATTACTGATCACATTAGACAATTACAGAAAGACATGTTTCTATGTCAGACTACATAAGCATATTGTAATAAACACGTATTTAAAACATGAAACAAACTGTGCCGTTCTGGATTACAGATATGATTTAATGCACAGTCAAACGCTCAGAGAGCCCGTTAGCACGTTAGCTTTTGTACCTTCAGCGCTTCCAGGCCAGTCAAGCGAGATTTCTTGTCCTGGTCCTTTATTATGATGAAAGGCCTTCCATATTCATCGAAGGCGAGGGTCCCGAGTGCGGACATTTTTAATCTCCACCCCAATGAAATGCACAGCTATGCAAAATGATTTTATACTAGATTGTTTGCTCCTCTAGCTGTGCACCTCGCCGCGCGGGTCTGCCGGCTGGCTCTGGAAGAATCTCGGGGCGGGACGGAGCAAACCAAGTAGAGTGCGTTATAATATCCACGGCATTTTCGGGAAATTTTGATAAACGTTGAGTGGATAATTAAGAAATAATTTAAAACACTTCAGAAAATTGTTTAGGAATAAAAAAAGAAAGAAACCTATCTCTTTCTCTCAAACTTTAAAACTGAAACATAAAAATGGTTTATTCCACTCTCGCGATAACTCCAACACATAACGCAAGTCTAGCCACAGATTTATATTCCATAGAGCTCGACTAAACACATTGACATTTGTGCTCGACTAGTATATCTTTTAATTGACAAATTGTTTATTTCTGCAAGGCCATGTGCGAGTCCAGAGTAACGTGGTATCCTGTTCCTCCAGTTCATGAGAGCGTGTCAGTGCGGGATTCAGTCTGTTACTCGGCCCAAGACGCGGTTAGAGTTGTCATTCACAAAATCAAGGTAACTTTTATCAACTTAAACAATTTAATCACACCGCTCACAATTTAAATTTGTGACCAAAATCTAATTTAAACTTCGGATATTCGGATGGTTTAAAAAGAATGCTTAGTGTATTAAACACAAAACTGTCAACTATAAATGAGAGTGTGGACTGTTTTGATTTCTTTGACATTTGCACATGTCTGATGTAAATAGTTACATGACCAGAGCTGTTTAATTCCAGTTTGTACATGGAAGATGATGCTTTTTGCCCCACAAACATGTAAACACAATATAAGCCATGTTTAAAACGTATTATGTATGCATGCATATATATGTAATATAATGTATTATGCGTACATTACTCTGTCGCATAATCAGAATCGCAAGCTATGTAAATACATGGTTGACAGTCTCATTTTTGAATAAGTAACATATTAATTGACTTTAAAATTAAAAGAAACAGTTATGTAAATGAAATATAAACGCTTATGTAAGTTAATATTACATCACTCATGTTGGAAACTTGCTTTGAACCATCTAGACGGATGAATTTATGATTTTATGTAATTTTTAATTCATTGTTTATTAAGTTATGTTTGTAAATATTTCATAGTACATAATGATATAATACATATATTTATAATATCTATAATATTTTTGTTATAATGTAAAAATCGAATATTGTTATTGCTTTTCACAACATGCAGAAATGATTTTCAACATTTTAACCCACTTTATCCAGCTTTTATAGTATGCCGTGTGAAGTTGCTGCTCGCTTCTTGATATTGTTAATATTACATCACTCATGTTGGAAACTTGCTTTGAACCATCTAGACGGATGAATTTATGATTTTATGTAATTTTTAATTCATTGTTCATTAAGTTATGTTTGTAAATATTTCATAGTACATAATGATATAATACATATATTTATAATATCTATAATAAATATTTTTGTTATAATGTAAAAATCGAATATTGTTATTGCTTTTCACAACATGCAGAAATGATTTTCAACATTTTAACCCACTTTATCCAGCTTTTATAGTATGCCGTGTGAAGTTGCTGCTCGCTTCTTGATATTGTATGGATCTCAGCGTGGTCAGGCTCAGTCTATAGCCGAAGAGATCTGCCAACAAGCAGCCGAACATGGGTTTACAGCTGACATCAACTGTCTGAGCAACCAGCACAAGGTATGTTTCTTGCCTATTACTTTTCATGGATATCAAATCTTTGACAGTCATATATCAGAACTGACTGATGCAACTTTCCCATGTATTCCCAGTACAACTTGGATAGTGAAATCCAGCCAGTTGTTTTTGTGGTTTCCACGACCGGTGATGGTGACCCCCCGGACACAGCTCAGAAGTTTGTGAGAAAGATCAAGAACAAATCTCTGCCACACAACCACTTCTCCCATCTGCATTATGCACTGTTAGGTAAGATGATCATTCGGTTATGTAAGAGTGAGCTCCACCCATGAGCACTTTTTCATGCTGTTATATATGTAGCTTTGGGAGACACAAACTATGCAAATTTCTGCAACGGGGGCAAGACCATTGACAGCCGTCTGCAGCAGCTTGGTGCTAAACATTTCTATGCCACTGGGCATGCAGATGACGGCACTGGGTAAGCATGAATGTTAAGTAACAATAAAAAGCAGATTCTCTGAGATATTGCCTTTTCAAACTTCCAGACTCTTTTCTTTCCAGACTTGAAGTAGTGGTGGATCCTTGGATTGAGGGACTCTGGGACGCTCTGAAAAAAACGTTCTCCAGCATGGCTACTTCAGATCAACAGGACACTGACCTTAGTGACTGTACACAGGACAATTTTCATAAAAATGCATCTGGCCAGGAAAAATATAAGTCGGATCTAGAAGTTGATCTTCATCTTTTAAAGCTGAGTGAAACAGACTCACAAAAAGGAAAAGCGATTACATCTGACAGCATTGATGTAGAGACTCTTTCTACAGTGTTGGTTGCATCTCTGAAGCAATCGGTACCACCGTTGTCAGAGTCTGCTCTTAATGTTCCTGCACTTCCCGCTTCATATCTGGAGGTCCGTTTGGAGAAGGTGTCAACTGAAGGGGTATGATCTTTTTGGAAAATACAGAGATCAATTCATGAAACACAAGCCAGACAGAATTTCTGTTTAAAACCTTTTGCGTAAATTCATTGCAACAGACAGTGTGTATACATGGATTTAGGAACATTTATGCTTTTTATGAATAAGGTTCATTCAATAAATGTTTTGGTGTAAATCAGTGGTTCTCACCTAAGGGCATGGGCCTGCTAGGGATGGACATTTGATTATATTAAAAATCATTTTATTAGATAGCATTTGAGTCAAAAAAGTTGAGAACCAGTTGTATAGATAATGTGGGATAAATATAATTTCATTAATTGTTTCTATTATGTCTATAATTTTGATAATTAACATACTCCTTTCATAGGAGACAGTCCCATCTGATAAAGACGGTTATCATGAGGTGTCCATTTCAAAAGCAGTTCAATTAACTCAAGATGATGCAGTGAAAACTGCCATCTCACTGGAGCTTGATATTTCGGTAAGTTCATATTTATTCACTTTTATTTAAGTACTGATGCAGCAGTATTAAAATTCCGGTTGATACAAATGAACCAATAATTATTTGAATAATAAATTAATTATCTCTATTTAAAATGAATCATCATAAATGAATGGCTGATATTAAAATTCCATAAAATATAATCTAAATAAAAATATAAAACTCCGTTTTAAATGCTACAAGTGAATTTAGGCATCACAATATTATAATGTACAATATGAAAAATGGATATTCATTCTGCTAAAATTACATTTAACATGATTATTAAATTATTAGTGTTTTTTTTATAAATTCATATTTAATCTAAACGCCAAATTAAAGGTAATCTAAATGTAAAAACGGGGAAATGAGCATGAACAATTAAATGTGGGTATTTTATACATTTGTTTGGAGGAATACATAAACATGTCTACTTGACTGATCCCAAACTAAATGCTAATAATACCCAAAAGTTTACTTTAGATATATATAATACCCAAAAGTTTACTTTAGAATTTGGTTTGGGATCAGTCAAATAGACATGTTTATGTATTCTTCCAACAACAACAAAAAAAAGCTATGTTGTGTTCTTTGTGTAGGAGTTATAATAAATGTTGTCTCTCCAGGAGCAGAACCTTGCTTATCAGCCTGGAGACGCCTTTGATATTCTCTGTCCAAACAGAGCCAGTGAAGTTGAGGAGTTGCTGCTCAGACTGGATCTGCAAACACAAAAGAATTGTGCTGTTCAGGTCAACTTGCTTAAAAACAGCAGTAAGAAAGGTATTGCAGCCGTTGTTGACATAATCAGTGACACCAGGAACATTCTCCTCGAACTGCCAGAAAACAGATAATATAATGCATTCCGCTAACAAGTCAGAGAACTAGATTCAGATTGTACAACCAGAAATGTTGAATAAATACATAGCTGTTTTTTTTTCTTTTACAGCAGCAAAAATTCCTCTTCGCATCCCACAGAATGGCTCTTTGCAGTTTATTCTCACCTGGTGTTTGGAGATAAGGCGCGCTCCAAACAAAGTAATTTTGTGTTATTAACCTCATTTAATGTGATAGCTGCTGTGCTGTTGAAGTTCTGAACCTTTGATTTAGCACTAGCGCTTACTTAATACGCAACAGTGCTTTTGATGTACCGGTGGGGATGATTTATTTAGCTTTCACATGCAAGGCTGTAGTCTGAAGTTCCTGGACAGACCCTGTACACTGTTCTCTTGTGCTTTCAGGCTTTTGTGCGAGCATTGGCGGACTTCACTCAGAACAGTTCAGAGAAAAGAAGGCTTCTGGAGCTGTGTAGCAAAGAAGGCTCAGCAGACTACAACAGCTTTGTCAGGGACGCCAACGTATGTTTGCTGGATCTGCTTCGGGCCTTCCCATCCTGCCTACCTCCACTCAGCCTTCTGTTCGGTCAGTAAACACATGATCTGCTTGGAATTTACTGGAATGTGGCTATTTTTTTTTATTTCTTATCAGCATATGCAGTTTGCAAGGTAAATGTGCTTGATGTTTGGAAGCGTTTGCAGTGCTTGTACCACCAGATGGCAGTAAAACAACATTAGATCCGAGCCCCCGCTTTGCTTTTTCTCCTTTTAAAGGCAACTGCAAATATAGCCACTGAAAAAATACATTTTAAACTTAGCATAAAATTTGAGACTCACCAAAGCATGTCAGGGGACACAAGGAGAATGATGATGAATTCAGCAAATCTAAACTAAAAAATGACGGCTGTCAGTGGATTAAGATACTTAATCATGATTATATTTCATAATTAATTGTATTAAATGCCATCAGTCTCTTTTTAAGGGGAAAAAAATTTGAGTGGATGACACTCTACTGAGAATGTATATGTAAAGACACAAGATTGGGACCGTTTTCTGCTGCAGTGCTCTTTACTGATCTTGCTCGCACAAAAACACAGATTCTTTCTTAAACCATATCAAATAGGCACAGAAAATGTGAACCCCATATTAAGTACTCTAAAAGCTTGAGGTCGGTAAAATTTTTAAATGTTTTTGAAAGAAGTCTCTTATGCTCACCAAGGCTTTACTATATTAATATATATTTTAAATGTAATTTATTCCTATGATGGCAAAGCTGAATTTTCAGCAGCCATTACTCCAGTGTCACATGATCCTTCAGAAATCATTCTGATTTGGTGCTCAAAAGAGACATTTCTTACTATTATCAGCGCTGAAAACTGTTGTGTTGCCTAATATTTTTGTGTAGACTCTTCAAAAGAACAGCATTTATTTGAAACTAAAATATTTTGTAACTTTGTGTAACCAAATATAATGCATTCTTTCTGAATAAAAGAAAAAATAAATTGTGACCCTAACTTTTCAGTGGTAGTATTAGTTTTGCACAATGTATAAGAAATCACTGTGCAATGTAATTAACCTTGACAACATAAAGTTGATATTTTGTAATAATAAACCTTATTTTAATCCTTCAAGCGATAAATAGTGGATATGTTGTTTTGGAGATTTCTTGTCCTACAGTAAGCCTCTGCTGTGCAATAAAATTATCCATCAAGGTGATAAATATGCCGTCACCTTGATTTTGAGGAACAGCTGGTATTGCTGAAATTATTAATGCATACCATGCTTTAGAGAACTGCAAGGTAGTCATAATGCAGTGACCCTCGCAGATTTATGCGGATGTGGCCAGTGGATTGTTGCATTGGATGCGTGTACATGTAAAGTTTTAATCTGTGTGAATATTACTGCGACTTTGGCAAATTAAGGATTAACACTGTGATTCTCCATGGCACAGATCGACAGAGATGCTGGTTCAGCAGCGTTTGACAGGACATTCATTTTATTCCTAAAATCACTCTGCACTGGTGTGTTCTGACAGTAAGATCGTTGTCATCAGTCAAACAGTTTTTCTCCTGACTTTTAGACTTCCCCGACATTAAAGAGCAGTGTTTTTCCACCAAAACACCATGTGCCTTTTTGATGCATTTGTTTGCACTCATGAGAGGCTGTAATTGCAACAGCTGCTCGCTATATTGTATGTTTGATTGTAATTAATTGTTAATATTGAAGACCTTCAGCATCCGCATATGCTGAGCTTGAAATGAACATTTCAAATTGATTTGAAAATTATATGTCATTTGCTGACTGATGAAGGGGAATTTTAAATACTTTATTTGAGCTGAGAAACAACTACCTCTGTGTTTTTAACAAGGAACATTATGTTAAAACAACATCTTAAATTTCATTGGAAGCCATAAAATGGTATTAGGTGCTTACTTGGTTTTGCACTGAAATGAAAATTATTGGGTTAAAACAAAATCAAAAAGTCATTTATACAAGCCTTTGTTTGGAATAACAACACATTTTAATAGGACACATTTTGAATGTTTTAATATTTTTATAAGTGATTATAGTATGTTCTTCCTTCAGCTAGTATCACTACAAAAGTAGAAAACGGAAATGAAAGGAAAGGTGCCAGAAGCATCTCTGTCTTCTGAGAAATTATTTTTGCATTTAAATACCCTCTCGGTCTTTACACAAGCATAGGAAAACCCTCTTTATTAATGTGTCAGTAACCAAGAGCGTGATTTCTTCTGTGGTTGGGGACTTTAAGGCACAACTAGGAAACTCTAATGCAGAGTGAGTGTGAGTTTTGACTGCAATATGCATCTAGAGTCTTCAGCAAGTGTGTAATTCAGTACCTTTTCTGTCAATATTATCATTTGCATTTACATCAAAATAAATTAAACCTATATCATTTCACATGCGTGCCCATTTTTCTGCAAGTTGAAGAATATGTTGTTGGATGGTAAATTGTTTCTGTTCACATTTTTCTCTTTTTGGCACTTTCAAACAAATATTTTAAGTTGGTGAAATTTCAGTTAATCCTTCTCTGTAATAAAAAATTGGCCTTCACCAACACAAGTGGCTTGGGTAACATCCATAGGGGGTGATGCCCTAAAAGAGAAACTCAAGACATGGTCGAATAGCCTCAAGGTCACAATGCCATCTTCATCTCTGATCTGTCCTCTGCTTCATTACAGAACATTTGCCAAAGCTTCAGCCCAGAGCCTATTCTGCTGCCAGGTAAGAGACCTTGTTTGAAACACCTGTGCTTTATATTTGGACTCACAAATTAAAGCAGAGACATATCCAGGTTGCTATTTCTGTCTTATCCTCCTTTGATCTTGTGAGGTTTATTATATAGACAGACATGAATTTGATGCATGCTTGATGATACTCCATTTGTTGTGATCAAAGTCAAACACTGGATGCAAAGGATGTCCTTTCAGAACCGCCTGCCACTTTCATTTGTTTTCTTCCTGTCTCCTTTGGCTTGTAAGTGGTCTGCCATCTACACTAATGTCTTATGTTTAGTACTACGCTGATGCTAGTAGAATACACAGAAACATTAGGGCTCTGAAATATTAAAGTCCGGTCAGCAGGGGTCCCCAAGGCCCGATAGAGGCAGGCCATTAAGAGAGAGATAATGAGGTCCACCGGCTTGCTCATGTTCAGGGTTGGTTCTGGATTGTTAGCACTTAGTCTCTTATTTTTATCTCGTTCCTCAGCTCCAGCCTTCAGCACCCTGGGAAAGTTCATTTCGTGTTCAATGTTGTGGAGTTACCTGCACGTCCCGAGCATCCGGCGAGGACGGGGTTGTGTACGGGCTGGCTGGCTGGTCACGTCTCCTCAATCTTGTGGCCCCTTGGGACGGTACCGGCTTCAGAGCGTCTAGGCACATCAGCCCAGCCGAAGGTTAGCACTGTAGGCATTACACATTAGCGAGCCCGTTCACCTTCGAATTAGCTTTTCACAGTCCCTGGGAGGATTTGGGCTGAATTGGGTTGTTTGATTGAGGTAAAAGCTGGACAGAAATAAGCTCTGGAGAAAGTGGACTAATCCTTACAGCAGAATTGAACAACAACAACATAAAAGCTTTTGCTTTAGATGCTATCTACAAAATGTAAGGAATTGGGTTTGTTATAGTTAAACAGATGTTGTGTGTGGGATTACTCAATTTAAGAATCCTATCACTGCTTAGAGCTGAATGGATCGAAATGTCATCTCCAGGTACATGTCAGGCCTCGTCCCAGCAGCACCTTCCACTTACCAGCCGACCTGTCTGTTCCTGTAGTGATGGTGGGTCCTGGGACAGGTGTGGCCCCCTTCATTGGATTTCTTCAACAAAGGTACATTCAGCAGATTTATTTCACCCTTTCTTTTCAGATGATGTTGATACTGTATAATATTTTATTCTGATATGTGACCCTGGACCACAAAACCAGTTATAAATAGCACAGGTATATTTGTAGCAATAGCCAACAATACATTGTATGGGTCAAAATTATCAATTTATTTTTTATGCCAAAAGTCATTAGGATATTAAGCAAAGATTATGTTCCATGAAGATATTTAGTAAATTTCCTATTGTAAATATATCAAAACTTAATTTTTGATTAGTAATATGCATTGCTAAGAACTTCATTTGGACAATTTTAAAGCAGATCTTCTCAATATTTAGATTTTTTTGCACCCTCAAGATTCCAGATTTTCAAATAGTTGTATCTCGGCCAAATATTGTCCTATCATAACAAACCATACATCAATTGAAAGCTTATTTATTCAGATTATGACCATTATGACTAGTTTTGTGGTCCAGGGTCTCATATATTGTTTTATTGTAGCGCTCATGAAAGTTCAAGCAGTGTGCAGTGTGATATGCTGTACAATATGTTTGTGCAGATACCAACATTCTGGCTGATAACAATAAGCTGATAATTATGTTAATGTAATGGTTGAAATGTTTTTAATTTGATAAGTCTGTAGCACTTAAAATATGAAAACACACTAAATGCTAGTTAATAATCAAACACAAGGCAAAGATCTGTTATATATTGTGACCATATATAAACCTATATATATTCATACTTTTATTTAATGATGCATGAAATTAATCAAAAGTGGCATTTAAGATTTATATTATTACATAAATAAATTCTGTTCTTTTGAACTTTCTATTCATCAAAGAATCCTGTAAAAATATCATGGTTTCCACAAAATTATTAAGCAGCACAACTGTTTTCAATATTGATAATAATCAGAAATGTTTCCTGAGCAGCAAATCATCATATTAGAATGATTTCTGAAGGATCATGTGGCACTGAAGGCCTGAGTAATGATGCTGAAAATTCAAATGACATTTTAAGATATATTAAAATAGAAAAGTTATTAATATTTTAATATTTCACAATATTACTGTTTTTTTGAACAGTTTGTTTGCCATTTTTGTCACAAACATGGCTGTCAGTACAAAAGTCATAGTTGTTATTTGCAGAATGACTCCACACTCCATAGAGCAATAAGTCTAAACAACCCTTTATCATGCATCTTCAAAAAAATAAACAAGGTTTTTAAAGCAGAAGGAAGTTTATTGATTCTTATGTGTAAAAGTAGCATAAAAACACCTCTAGGGTGATGAGGATAAATCTGAAGAGGTCGAAGGAATAAGAGAAAGTGTAAATTTGCTATTGACCTGCTCCCTGCCATATTATCTGTGAAGCCTAATAGTGTTTCCAAAGACCCTGGTGTTAAAATGAAGAAGGGCATAAATTCAGGATCTGGTTGTAAAGGTGTCTTGTGGAGGCCTGTCATCTCAGCGTGTGTGATTTATACTCAGTGCCAGGGGCCTATGAAGAGTGACACGCCAGGACTACATATGAATGAAGCCGTCTGCCCTGGCGCAGGGTTGGCCAGTGATGTGATGCCTGCTGTGTGTGTACACGAATAGTTTGTAAGTGACACAAGGGCCACAGGTAATCATAGGAGCTAGTGTCCGAGCCAAACGCGGTTGATGAATGTTTCAGACATGTCTGGGGGACGGTGAGAGTGGGATGAGACATTAATGATGAATGACAAAAGTTGTCCTCAAACACCACATCACCTTCCAAACCGTCAAGGTCGAGGCATTCATGCAACACCGCATGTTTGGTTTAGCTCCAGGCCATGGATCAATAACAAATTGGTTTCTTTTAATGTTTTTGTGCAATATTTATATGTTTTAATGTTTTTGAGCATCTATCTATCTGTCTATCTATCTATCTTAGTATTCTTATTATTAATAGTAGTAGTATTTTATATATAGTAAAAATTGCATTATTTATAATAACAATATTTTATGTTTTCATATAATGTTCTACTTTTCAATTAATATTTAATTAATCAGTTAACATATTGGGGAAGAATTTTACTTCCAGTTTAGGTCTCACGTTCTGTATGTCAAACCAAAATTAGTTTCGCTAAACAGTCCTTTAACAGTAAGAAAAATACCACAATTATAACAGAAGTTGCCTGCTCATTTGTAGACAATATGACAATTGTGAAAGAATTTGAGACAGATTAATCATGGATGTGCAGGTTTACTGCCAATGTGTGCTGTTGAACTTTGTTTCCATGCGGTTCTTAACTTGAGATTCTCCTAAATACAGCTACCTTGATGCCAGCCTTCAATTAAAGATAACGATCACCATTCTGTCAGCAGGACATTGTTTGTGTCACAAAGCTCAGCATTTCCTCTTTAGGAGCAAACAGCATGGGATGCTTCGATTTCCTCATCTGTAAATCAATGGCAGCAGGCAGACAGCCGGAAATGTATTGTGCTGTGGAGAAAGTAGGAGACTTGGTAAGAATCTCACAAAAGGTCAAAGCCAATTCATCTGTTTGCAGGCTGCCAGTGAGCTTTAGGCAGAAAGGACTTGATGCTTCTACAGAATTAACTGAATAAAACTATATGACAGCCTTCAAAACAAAAGCAAAATTAAAAGTAGCATTCTGCTGGATTGCTATATAAACTACAGCATTCTCAGTGCATTTAATCTTTAACCTGATTTAATGATTAATCAACAAATTAAACTCACTCGCACTGCAAAAATTACTAAAATGTCATATTTATTTGACAAATAATACATTTTCTTGTCCCTAATAATCAACATTATGCAGGTGAAACTGTAATATGAACTTCAGCAGTGCTAAACTGCTCACTGCGTCATATAATTAACACAAACTATCAATATATGAATCAAACTTACTAAGAATGCAGACAGTTTATTTTCCATATCCATATATTATACTAATTATATCCATATATGTGCTTATAGTAAAATTACATAAAACAGTGAAATCGCTCCAGAACTCTGTCCTGTTTAGTTGCATTCGAGATGGTGACATGTGAGCTCCAGTTGACCGAGTCTTCACTCCTATTGGTTGTCGCTCACGAAATTCATAGCTCATTTGCATAAAGTTAAGCATTTTGTAACTTTGTCCAGCGACTCTCATTGCTTGACACTAGGGGTGGGCGATGTGACCAGTATATTTCACAATAGTTATTTTGGCTTTAAATAAGGTCTTAATGATATCAAAATTTCTGATACCATAGAAATTTCATCATTCTTGTTACCAGTGTCAATATCACAAAAAAACTAATACTAGCCTAAATAAAAAAACTAAAAAAAAACTCAAGCTCACTGAAGACAAATAAACAGTCAGCGATTAAATAAGAAACTAATTACAATCAATAGGACAAAAAACTACAGTAGAACAAATGAATAAGAAATGCTACATACAATGTATAAAGTAATCAAATGTATAAAAACATTGCATATACTTCACTGTATAAATTAAATATATATTTCGTATTATTAAAGTTACAAAAGTGATTTAGTCAAGAGCTGTGTGAGATTTTCTCAGTTTTGTTGTTTGATTAACATGAATGACAGACAGCCGGAATATTAGACTGCTGTCACTTTAAGAGCTGCCCGGATCCAATATATTGTTACACATGTGCTTTCTTTCTCAACTGTTTGCTTTCACTTACAACCTAAATTACTGTGTTTACTTGCTAACATACTTGCAAAGATGAGCATTTTGACAAGTGTACAATACAAATGTGTGTATTTAACCGCGCAAGGCCTATAAAAACGGAGAAAACTAACTGTTCAATACTCCCGCACTCTGAGCACTGTCTCTCAGACACCGCGCGCATATAGCAAAATGAGTTCTTTTCCATGTCTGATTGCCTTTCAATGGCTTAAAATCACTTGTTTTTAAACCACAATGCTTAAAAATGCACGCAAACGGTAAGTTTTCGTGACCACGTAGCACAGCAACGTCACGTGAGCGTGTAATAAGTGATAAGAGACGGTCAAAAATCTCTACCGGTTGATAAATTTCTATCGGTCTATCGCCCACCCCTACATTCTGTCGCCAGTGGTCACGACAACATAGCAGGGTCCTGGCAACCACGACAACATAGCAGGGTCCTGGCAACCACTTGATAATACTAGTGTAATACACACTAGTATTATCAAGTTCACTCACATTTTCTGTAGAAAAAGTAAAACTGTGGTTAAATGTTATAAAGGGAAATTAAATGCTTCTTCACATCCGCTTCTTTGTTCACACTTTGCATGCTGTTCGCCGGTCAGAAAATGTTATTCTGAGTTATTACAATAAGCTTTGAGGTCACCATATGTCCCTTGCTTTCACAATGCTGTGCATATTCTCAGAGGAAAGTGAGGAGGAGGATTACATAGTATGGTGATTTATAAAGGTGAATGTTGGCCACTGACTCGCTTTCATTCTTCATATGAAAAGGTAGCAGCTATTGCGTTACTTCCTATTCTAACCAACGGCAGGCTGTAATTTTTTTTAGGGATGCGGATATGTCGTACTCACTGTCGCAGTACAGTTGATTTGTATTCAGGATGGGATCTGGTCTGCACTGTGTTACAAAATGGAATCCAGGTTTTTCATATTGGTACCGGCCCCTCTGGGGCAGCATTAAGCCCCACTAAAGCTAGTTTATTGAAGCCCATTTCCAGATTGGATATTGAACTCCCAGATGCTAATGGCTCTGCTGTGGACCCTCTGTTTGTTCAAATGCCAAACTCAGTTGAGCCAAGCTCCGAGCAGATGGGCGTGACCAAAAGAAGCATCCAAAATGTTAACCCTGTCTCGCAAAATATAATTTCCTGCAGAGAGGGACAGCAGGGGATGTGACAAGCTGTGTTTGGTTATGTGTGTTATTTAAATTTCTCATCAAGACAATACATAAAAGTGATTACTCTCAATGAAGAAACATTTCCCGTGCATTCTCTGTTTCATTTAGCTTTTAATCAGTGGCTGTAATTGTTTGTGTAACACTGAGAAAGTGTTTTAGGAAATCCAGAAAGTAGAGTGTTTATTTCAGAGGCTGTATAAGGAGGTGGAGTCGAACCACTCAGAGAAATGAATGGGAGAAATCATTAATGCTCAATTTGGCAACTGTAGGAATTGAGGGGTCATTTAAAAGAGCCAGTTGCCATTTTGGTAGTTTATTAACTTTAGAATGTGTATGTGCTGTGGCTAGACTGTTTTTTTGTTTAATTTGGCTTACGTTTATTATATATATATATATATATATATATATATGTATACGTATATATATGTATATATATGTATATATATGTATACGTATATATATATATATGTATACGTATATATATATATATGTATACGTATATATATATATATGTATACGTATATATATATATATGTATACGTATATATATATATATGTATACGTATATATATATATATGTATACGTATATATATATATATGTATACGTATATATATATATATGTATACGTATATATATATATATGTATACGTATATATATATATATGTATACGTATATATATATATATGTATACGTATATATATATATATGTATACGTATATATATATATATGTATACGTATATATATATATATGTATACGTATATATATATATATGTATACGTATATATATATATATGTATACGTATATATATATATATGTATACGTATATATATATATATGTATACGTATATATATATATATGTATACGTATATATATATATATGTATACGTATATATATATATATGATATATATATACTAGTCAGCTTTTATAGCTGATTTCATGTGGACGTTTTTGCCACAAAAATAAATAAATAAATGAGCAATTCTAAGAAATAATCACAATTGTGCAGTATATTGTTTCAGTTTTGACAAATTGTACTTGTAATTGTGAGGTATAAGGTCACGATTTTGAGAAATAGTCACATCTGTCAAGCATAAAGTCATGATTTTGAAGAATAGTTGCAACTGTTTTGTAGGGGTGGGAGAAAAAATTGATTCACCTAACTATCGCGATTATTTTTAAAACGATTTAAAAATCGATTGGTTTACCTCAGAATCTATTTATATTTAATTATTTTACTTTTCCTAAGAGGTGGTGAGGAGAAGTTAGCGCTTTTTAATTCCAACAGAGGGCGAAATGTATAGGTGTGTTCGACTTGAAGCAGCACCGCGCAGACGATCAGCGCATGACATCAAAGTACCACGAGAGCGATTCGAAAACATGCGGAGCGTCTGTTCTCTGTAGCTCTCGCGGTGCTTTGATGTCATACAATGATCGTTCTGTGTGCGCAGTGCCGCTGCAATAGGTGCCACGCCGGCACGAGAAAGCAAAACCATGACGCAGAGGATCAAACCTCTTTCAGAATTCTTTCTGCACCTTCACGTTTTGAATCCCAAGTGGGGAAACACTTTGGATTTTACACACTGTCGGGAAAACATGACCAAACGTGACTAAAACTGAATGCAAAGTAACATAGCACTTTATTTTATTTCAGAAAGTATTTTTTCTACTCATTTTGTTGAACATTTGACTATTATATTCATGTGCAAGTTCAGGGTTTTGGTACTTGAAGGTGTCATGGTTCAAGGTACTTTAAAATATACACTGTGTATGTGTATGCTCCTGAAATAAAAGTTAAGAAAGATGTGATGCATTGTTTTTGTTAATATGACTCATCATATAGAGTCAATTTTAAGGGTATAATCAAGTATTTCAACTTTTTCCCCGTGGTCTAGAGTTAAAAACAAAAAACAAAAATCGCAACACATAGCAATATCGAATCGCAATACTTGTAGAATTGAAATTCTAAAAAAAAAATGCAATACATATCGTATCGGCACCCAAGTATCGTGATGGTATCGAATCGGGAGGTAGCTGTATCGTCCAATCCCTACTGTTATGTATAGATTTGTGCTTTTAAAAAGTTGTAATTTTGGGATATAAAGTCGCAATTTTGAGAAACAGTCACAACTGATATGTATAAAGACATTATTTTGAAAAATAGTCGCAGTTGTGAGGTATAAAGTGGCAGTTTTTTGTTTTAGGTTTAGTTGAGAAATAATCGCAAAGACCCCATTTGTTACTGTTGTTACGCCCGACAAGCCATGGCACTCTCATTCCACACATCATGTTCTCACACAGTGAAAAATACATCATGGAGCAAAGAGAAACCTTACAACATGCTGACAGACAAGACAGAGCACGTTACTTTAGGTATGAAACAAAGTCTTTTTTGTCATTTTTTAGAAATTCAAACAATAAATACCGTTTTGTGACTTTAATGTGTCATGACAGATCACTGTAGCACCTTCGTTAAAGCGGCAGTGAACTGATCATCTCTTCCTCTTTACTAGTTATAGCGTGCCATAAACATGAATCCGCATCAGAAGGTATCTTGTTTCAACCGCGGAAAGATGTCAATATACACCATTTTTCAAGTTCAAGTCCACCAACGTTAATCTACTCTACTGTCTGGTTTATTGGTCGGACAAAAATGGCAGATTCGGTGTTATTATTGGTCAAATCGATAGTCAATCAAACTTCCCGCGAAGGGTCAATTGTAGGTTTTATTTTGGTCTTTCTGAATTCAAGTAGAAGTACTTGCATGCTTATTGCCTACATAGCAAACAGAAAAAGCCTGGGGGTGTTTTTTTAACTGATGTCACACACAAAGTAATAATATACCTGGTGTATAAAAAGATGCATGATCTATTTTATTAACATCAGTCAGTAAACAACCCATTAGTATTCTATTGCCTGGCTGTTGCTCAACATGCCACTAAATTAAATATAAAGACATCACAATAACAACTGTCTGACAGAATGACTCAAAAGTGAGCGTTTTGCTTTGCTTGCCAGTTGTTCACTGCATGCGATGGGTCACTGAAGCAAGGACCTGAAATGAAAAAGAACAGATTGTAGATGTTTGAAGAGAAGCTCTGTTTTGTTTTCCTGTGGTCATCTCGTCCACACTGTGGCTCATTGGTATTCTAATCGCAATTAAACTGTACGTTCAGCAGATGGGGAGAGCTTAATGTCTGAAACTCGGCTCACTGCAGTGTTTTGAGAGATATCAGTATGATGGAGGGCATCTCACCCTCAAAGTCCTTCGGGTGTTTCTACATTCCACTTCTATTAATGCTTCTGAAAGTTCCAGACTGTTCTATTTCTGAATGCTTCATTTAGGTTGGCCGAGATGACTAAAGGAGTAGATGCAGTAGAGTTTGTTTCTGGCCTGTGTAATGCATCTCTAACAGATCTCTTCCTCTATTATCACGTTGGAGTAAAGATGCAGTGGAGTAGACAGTGTGCTGCTTTTTTTCTAAGGAAGTTTTGATTGTGTTTGTGCGACGTCTTCTCTCTTATCTCTGCAGAAGTCTGTCAACCTTTAGCAGGTGCAGTGTACAGATAGTGCCCAGTACCTGTATGTCACCTTAGTGTAGGGAATTCTGGGAACACTGCCAGATCTTTTGGAGGACTTGCTCTTAAAGAACACATCCAGATAAATATCAAGGTCTTCTCTCTACAGAGTGATTTTGTGTTTTTGTGGTAATGCAGCAGGTCAGAGAGTAATTAAACGCCACATGCCAATTTATGGGTTCATCATTGTGAAACTATGAATTGGATCATTTGATATATTAAGATGTTTGAATTTGTAATTAGTGATCAGTCAGGTAGATTAATCGGCTCATATTCAAGAATTTTGAGATTGTTTGCCCTTGTTTCATTTCCAAAATATACTGACAGCCTTGTCTGTAAATAAACATTTAATTTAACTTTTAATGTATTTAAATAAATTTGGGTGTATATCTTTGCCATTAATCAAATGTATTAAGTATATGTATATATTGGCATGATAGGGTTGCTATGATTTTAGTAGTCTATATCAATAGACTACATACATACATATACTGGAGTAATGGCTACTGAGAATTAAAAATTTTAATGGTTGCAATAATAAAATTTTTATAATATTTTACTGACTGTATTTACTTTGATAAAAATAAAAGCAGCTTTGGTGAGCATAAGAGAAAAAAAAAAAATATCGTACCACATCCAAACCTTTGAACGGTAGTGTGTATATAAGTAAATATTGCTAAGTAAGTAATAAGGAACAATTTTAAATTAAGAACAGAGTGTTTTTCTATTTTTTCCATTTTTTTTTTTTATTTATTGTTATTATAAACATAATAGACTGTGGCAGGCCTATTAGGTTTAATACACAGCCTGATGCATGGAGCTCATATTTTGACACAAACCATATGTTTTTCCCCCAACTGTTTACATTCACTTATTTACATTAATAACTTGCCAAGAGACATTTTAAGTAAGAAGTACATTTGACCATTTGCACACATTACCATGAGGCATAAACATATAAATATGCATGCGAGCATTAGAAAGCAGCCGCCTGTCAGTCAGACAGCCGTTGGCTACTGAATTGAGTCTGCACTCGGTATTACCAGACCTACAGAAAGGCTGAGATTACTTTATTTATTTATGTATTTATTTTAGTATTGATTTGGTACCAAAGGAAAGGTCGTTTTGAAATCCCTAATTGGCATTACTTTGGCCATTGGCCATCCATCTCTATAGATATCAACATGAAAAAATGAATGATTTCAAAAAAGCTTTTAGAAACGATTTTTAAAAAAAGTGCTTAGTATTCAATGTGTTATAACTTTTCATTTTATAGAGACATTGTTCAACTTTGCATTATTGTTTTGACCTGACAGAGAGAAAGAACGTGAAGCGAACCAGGAAGCAACTTTCGGAGAGACGTGGCTCTTTTTTGGATGCCGCCACAAAGACAAAGACTTTCTTTTCAGGTATGTGCATCACAAACATGCAAAAAATCACTTTCTTAATTTGTTGTTTGTCTTATTTTCCAGAATAAATATCAAAACAGCCTTAAATTTATATAAATGTACTTGAGAAGCAATTGTGTTTATTACAGTATATGAGCAGTGTTATATATCTTGAAGCGTTTTTTTTCTTGTTGTAAGAATAAACCTCATTATATTTTGTTAGATGCTTGAAATACAACAATTAGGCTATGAAACAAATTCAATTTTAAGATATTCTCTAAAAAAGCCTTATTATCTGATGCAAGCTTGTGTCCCAAGTAAATTTACGCTGTTTTAAGAATGTTTAAATATTTTTCACTGGAAAACAAGAAAAATAATTCTGATTAAGAAAATTGATTTTTGTAGTGCAGCCATTATTCTACCGTCCCCCTTTTGCAACCTGATCATATGTTATCTCCATAACCTCAGAGTATTTTTCACTCGATCTGCCAGCTTCACACAGGCTCTTGGCGTCTTGTCTTCTCTTGGTTGCTATCAGCCAGAGGCTCCTGTTGCACCGTCCTTGAGAGTAATGATTGGGAAAGCAATGAAATTAAAGTACTCCCTCTGAGAGTATGGGGCATATGATACGAGACATTATATAAGATGACTGGGGTCTGGCTCTCCCATAGGCACACAGTCATAACTCATGTGCAAGGTCCTGAGTAATGGCATTGGTGCCTGGATTGGTGAGTATTAAGTGTGTGTGTTGTGACGGCTGGGCGGCACACAACGCTGTATCAGCGCTTGCCTCTACTTGACACAAGAGCTAATAACAACAAGATCAAAGTCAAGGTCCTGACATGCTGTTTGAATCTATCTATCTCTGCCTTCAGTGGTCACGAAGATCCAAGGGTTGTATTCATTAACGTTTTTATTCACATTGGTCACACTGTGGTTTCATTTATCATTTTTTTTCTCTGCATTGATTAAGACGATCAATAAAATGTGCTTAGTGTTGCTCGGTGTAACACCCTCATTGTCTGCTACGCTTTAATGAGCAAAGTAGAAAGTGCCGGTGGCATTTGAGATGAGAAGGCGACTCAAAACCTGGATTGTAAAACTCAACGCTCACTGAAAAACAAAAAACGAACCGGCTAGCCATCAGGCAGCCTGCTAAAGAAAACAAGGCGTCTGCAATCAATTCTAATCAAATATGATACTTATGAGTGTTAAAAGGGTGAAATCAGCCTCAATCAGTGTTGTTGAAATAAAGAACACTTGTCTTGGCCCCCCGTCACCAATGAGCCTCTTTGTTTTTATGGATTTGGATTACATGAGGAGGGAAAGCGAGCGGCTTAGATTCTGGAAAAGGGACAAAGGATCACTCAAGTCTGTTTTCTTTGTAAACATTCGATATCTGTCACCAGAACGCCTAGAACAGCTCATCTGGACCAGTTAAGATGGATGTGGCTCCCAGATGGCCCACGCAAACATATGTACTCAAAACCATGAAGCATGTGCTATGAATAGACCTGATTGTTAATGAAAAGGAGTTTCATAATTTAGATGCAAAATATTTAGCTTTGCTTAGTGAACTTGCATATATGTGTGTGTAATATATATATATAAATATATATATTAGTGGTTCAACGGATCACAAATCTCACGGTTCGGATCATATTATGGTTTTTGACCCACGGATCGGATTGTTTTTCGGATCAGCAAGAAAAGAAAAATATTTAAATTTATCTTGCTTTCCATTTATTACTTAATGCGAAGTATTTCTTTTGATACCACAGCAAATACTACTAGATTAACTAAGAAAGTTTATTAATGTTGATTAAAGAGACAAGAGAAAGCCAGTAAAAATAAGAACAAATACACAAATTACAATCATAGATAAACACAACACAATATGTTACAAATAAAATAAGCTCCGATATAATGATACACATCACATTCGATTTCTTTCAAGGCTGTTTTCATTCATTTGAGACATAACTGATTGCGTTTACCTGAATGATTGTCGAGATGGGTATATTGTCATAATTTTATGCGTATGTGTCTGTTCAGAGGATTGAGAAGAGGATTCATTTCGGTGTTCGCACGCTGTCTGAAACGCGTGTGCACGCTTCATGTGTGTGCGTACTGCGTAGAGAATAATGAATCGAGTTCCTTTTCGCCTTTTCTCTCTGGAATTGTTTAAAATTCGCTTGCTTGTGTAAATACGAACAAATGATAAACTTATACTCTATTATGGTTAAATTTTGCAATTAATCCGCGGAGCACATGCGTGCCGAACCGTGGGGCTTGGTCCGTACGGATCACGGATCAACTACGATCCTTTTAACCACTAATATATATATATATTAGTGCTGTCAAAATTCGATTGTGATTAATTTTTTCAGTTTAACTCCTTATAAATAGTTAACGCAGGGGTGGAGCTAGGGTTGGCCACGCCACTCACAACTGCTGCTTCTGTCTCTTTTTTTTCTTGGCAAGAATTGCATTTATTTAGACCAACAATGTATTTATGACTACATCAAACAGCCTTTTTTTAGACGCGCACTCCAGCTTCGCCTCAGCGCCAGGCGATAATCAAACGAGCGCAGAAATGGTACAGGTGACGAGGGAGCTTAAGTGGAACAACAATGAGCTGCAGTCAGATGAGATGTTGGCAGGCCATATGTCAGTATAAGCGAATTTTTCTGTCCTGTCAGCCGTAGCCGTAGCTCATAGCATGTGCTCTTCAATTGCACGCACAAATGCAGTGGTGCGCTGTATATAATTTCATATTAAAGCGCAAATGAAACTACGAGCATGCAACGTCGTAGTTTTGTCGTCGGTTAAGTCATGAAGTTACCAAAATATGATGCGTGTCAGATTTGCGTCATGTTCAGTAGCGGCAGCTCTATAAGCAGCCAAAATAACCTAATACCCCAGCTGCTGTGATGTCTGTTAACCAAAGAACAAAAGAAAAAAGAGGAAATCAATAACTTTTGTAGCGTCTAGGATTCATCTATATTTAATTTAGAACGTTTGATAACTTTATTCAGTTTCTTTATAATTCCTACTTGCTGAAGGGCACAAGTAGTCAAGATTGTTTTTAGTTCACTTAAATTAGAAGTTATTTTTTAAAGTCTAATAAATGTTCAAATTGATAGCTCTCAATTATAATGTAATGTTGAATGGCTATAGTCAACATCAGTAGTGTTGGTATCTGTGATACTTGCCTTCAGTCATAAAAAAAGATCCCATTAAACAAATATTAAAAATATACCATCTTTATGTTGTTTCTACATTAATTTGAAGATTGAATGTAAAATTAAATGCAATATAAAAGTATATTTAAAAACTTTAATGTTAAGTGGGATTAATCACGATTAATTGTGATTAATTTCAGAAAAAATGTGCGATTTAATAAATGTTTTTAATCGATTGACAGCGCTAATATATATAATATATGCAATGGCAAAGCTAAAGCTGTTAGCAGCTGTTTTGCCTGTCTGAGGGTGTGTAGGAGAGGTGTATTTCTTTTCTAAGTAATCGCAAAGTCTGTTTTGCACAGCACTATACTCAGATTTTCTTCAGAAATGTTCAAAACCAGTTTTTCTTTGGATTCGGATAATTGGAAACTCTGTTTTCGTGGTGATTTCTTATTCTGAGTGCATGTCAATACTCAGGTGTTTGTGTAAACATGGCTATTTTCAGAAGTTGTGTGCAAACGCTTGCTTCATCCGTTACATCACCCATCTGTTTACATTTCACTCTGTTGTCCTCCTGTAGCTTCAGTGGATATGTATAGTAGATGCCTCAGAAGTTGTATCACAACTATTGTTTGCAATAGTTAATTATTTATTTTTAATATTTATATTATTTATGCTATAGTTGCTATGTCTTTATTTACTCACCCTCAGATTGTTCCAAACCTGTAGGACACCAAAGAAGAAATGTAAAAAACAAGCGGTTCTGACTTAATGAATATGAAAAATCTGGTACTATACAAGTTTACTTAAGACACTTTTATGGTGTTTTTAAACACTTTTATGGAGTCTTTTTTGAAGGTTAAGGCTCCATTTATTGTAATTGCATGGAAAAAAGTGACCAGTACAAAATTTCTCCTTTTGTGTTCAACAGAAAATAAAGTCATACAGGTTTGGAACAACATGAGAATATTCATTTTTGGATAAACATTTCCTTTAAGGCAATAAAAAGTGGCTTTTGCCAAGTGAACATTCGAGAAAAGCAGAGCAGTTGATTGCAAAAGAGACTCAAACCTTGAGCTTGACCCTGTCTGTAATCTTCTCACTTTTCCATCTCATTTTTTTGAAATCGCACCCAAACTTTTGTTAGAGGCTGAAATAAAAGCTGTTACAGAAGCGATTTACAACAGCAGCCTTGAGGTTTTATAAACGTTCTTGCCAGATGGATGAGGGAGATGAAAATTTGAGTTTTCGAATGCAATACACTAATGAGCTCAATTGTTGTTACTTTACTAAAGCAAAATCTGAGAGAACCTAATTTGCCATTTGTTCCATTTGTATGTTAAAATGCACAAGTTTAGTTTAACCACCGCAAAAACAACCACTGACTGATGAAATACCAGTGAAACGCGGTAATAAGCACATTACTGCTTTTCTTCTAGAGAGGAGTTGGAGAGATTTGCGCATAATGGAACCCTGAGCCATCTGATCGTGTGCTTCTCCAGAGATGAGCCTGATGCAGCGGGAACTGTTAACAGTCCAACATATGTCCAGCATAACTTGCGTCTCCATGCTAAAAATGTTGCCAGCATCCTCTTTTCTTGGCAAGAATTGCATTTATTTAGACCAACAATGTATTTATGACTACATCAAACAGCCTTTTTTTAGACGCGCACTCCAGCTTCGCCTCAGCGCCAGGCGATAATCAAACGAGCGCAGAAATGGTACAGGTGACGAGGGAGCTTAAGTGGAACAACAATGAGCTGCAGTCAGATGAGATGTTGGCAGGCCATATGTCAGTATAAGCGAATTTTTCTGTCCTGTCAGCCGTAGCCGTAGCTCATAGCATGTGCTCTTCAATTGCACGCACAAATGCAGTGGTGCGCTGTATATAATTTCATATTAAAGCGCAAATGAAACTACGAGCATGCAACGTCGTAGTTTTGTCGTCGGTTAAGTCATGAAGTTACCAAAATATGATGCGTGTCAGATTTGCGTCATGTTCAGTAGCGGCAGCTCTATAAGCAGCCAAAATAACCTAATACCCCAGCTGCTGTGATGTCTGTTAACCAAAGAACAAAAGAAAAAAGAGGAAATCAATAACTTTTGTAGCGTCTAGGATTCATCTATATTTAATTTAGAACGTTTGATAACTTTATTCAGTTTCTTTATAATTCCTACTTGCTGAAGGGCACAAGTAGTCAAGATTGTTTTTAGTTCACTTAAATTAGAAGTTATTTTTTAAAGTCTAATAAATGTTCAAATTGATAGCTCTCAATTATAATGTAATGTTGAATGGCTATAGTCAACATCAGTAGTGTTGGTATCTGTGATACTTGCCTTCAGTCATAAAAAAAGATCCCATTAAACAAATATTAAAAATATACCATCTTTATGTTGTTTCTACATTAATTTGAAGATTGAATGTAAAATTAAATGCAATATAAAAGTATATTTAAAAACTTTAATGTTAAGTGGGATTAATCACGATTAATTGTGATTAATTTCAGAAAAAATGTGCGATTTAATAAATGTTTTTAATCGATTGACAGCGCTAATATATATAATATATGCAATGGCAAAGCTAAAGCTGTTAGCAGCTGTTTTGCCTGTCTGAGGGTGTGTAGGAGAGGTGTATTTCTTTTCTAAGTAATCGCAAAGTCTGTTTTGCACAGCACTATACTCAGATTTTCTTCAGAAATGTTCAAAACCAGTTTTTCTTTGGATTCGGATAATTGGAAACTCTGTTTTCGTGGTGATTTCTTATTCTGAGTGCATGTCAATACTCATACACAGTATACAGTGGTGTTTGTGTAAACATGGCTATTTTCAGAAGTTGTGTGCAAACGCTTGCTTCATCCGTTACATCACCCATCTGTTTACATTTCACTCTGTTGTCCTCCTGTAGCTTCAGTGGATATGTATAGTAGATGCCTCAGAAGTTGTATCACAACTATTGTTTGCAATAGTTAATTATTTATTTTTAATATTTATATTATTTATGCTATAGTTGCTATGTCTTTATTTACTCACCCTCAGATTGTTCCAAACCTGTAGGACACCAAAGAAGAAATGTAAAAAACAAGCGGTTCTGACTTAATGAATATGAAAAATCTGGTACTATACAAGTTTACTTAAGACACTTTTATGGTGTTTTTAAACACTTTTATGGAGTCTTTTTTGAAGGTTAAGGCTCCATTTATTGTAATTGCATGGAAAAAAGTGACCAGTACAAAATTTCTCCTTTTGTGTTCAACAGAAAATAAAGTCATACAGGTTTGGAACAACATGAGAATATTCATTTTTGGATAAACATTTCCTTTAAGGCAATAAAAAGTGGCTTTTGCCAAGTGAACATTCGAGAAAAGCAGAGCAGTTGATTGCAAAAGAGACTCAAACCTTGAGCTTGACCCTGTCTGTAATCTTCTCACTTTTCCATCTCATTTTTTTGAAATCGCACCCAAACTTTTGTTAGAGGCTGAAATAAAAGCTGTTACAGAAGCGATTTACAACAGCAGCCTTGAGGTTTTATAAACGTTCTTGCCAGATGGATGAGGGAGATGAAAATTTGAGTTTTCGAATGCAATACACTAATGAGCTCAATTGTTGTTACTTTACTAAAGCAAAATCTGAGAGAACCTAATTTGCCATTTGTTCCATTTGTATGTTAAAATGCACAAGTTTAGTTTAACCACCGCAAAAACAACCACTGACTGATGAAATACCAGTGAAACGCGGTAATAAGCACATTACTGCTTTTCTTCTAGAGAGGAGTTGGAGAGATTTGCGCATAATGGAACCCTGAGCCATCTGATCGTGTGCTTCTCCAGAGATGAGCCTGATGCAGCGGGAACCATTAACAGACCAACATATGTCCAGCATAACTTGAGTCTCCATGCTAAAAATGTTGCCAGCATCCTCATCAAAGACAAAGGCTCTCTCTATGTCTGTGGGTGGGTACAAAACATAAATAGTTTGACTTTTTTTTTCCATGTGTACGGTCACATTTTGCTCACCAGGAATGAGACAATATCTCACGATTTTACAGGGATGCAAAGAACATGACAAAGGATGTGAATGACACACTGTTGGAGATCATAGGAAATGAACTTCAAATCGATAAACTGGATGCTATGAAGACAGTAGCAGGACTTCGTGAGGAGAAGCGATATCTACAGGACATCTGGAGTTAAGAAACTCATACAGAACACAAATAATCGTAAACAGATGTGCAAGCTACTTTTTGGCCCTTTTATTTCTTATCCACACAACAGGTGCTATTGAGTGATAGCCAAATTCATTAACCAACTGCCTTTCAACTGCCTTAAGTCTCAAGGCTTTTTCCCTTCTTTTCAAGTATTTTAAAAGCTTTTAGTAAATTATCTGAAGGTACGGTTAAAAACGCTTAGATTAGATATGTTTGGTCAAAACTTTTGACTGTGCCTTTTTATGCAATTATTAAAGAGGAGCCCTGCATAACCGTTTCATTCTTTGAGGACCGTTTCTGTACGTTTAGATAAAGCTCAGGTAAAATATGCATAATGCATCAGACTCGGCAGGCAGGAGGATGCTAGACATGAGAAACCAAAACATGACAGACTGGATGGGAAAACTGTCAGAAGCTGCCAAATCCAGGATCATCGGCAGCATTTCCGTGTTTTTCAATTCCAACAGTTTTTTTAAGATTAGAGAGGATACTCTAGAGTCATCCATTTTCTTCCCAAAAAGCATTTTGCCATTTAGGTTTGAAATTCACCTCAGGTACCCACAGCAATTATACTGGTCTAGAGAGTTGGTGAGTCTATTGTTATACCCCAATATTTTGTTAAAGCTGTCGGGCTAAGAAAACATTTTAATGAAAAGTCTTTAACATGATACCTGTACTCACTGTAATTAGTCCAAAATAAAATGCATACTAAAAAAGAAAAGTAGTATTTAACAGACTGTCATTTTATGGCAAGGGCTGTGTAACAATTCTTCATAAATGTCTAATTTTGAGTACATAATATTCACTGTTCATTATTTGTATTTTCTTTGCATACTGTACAAACAAAAAGTATTCTCGTAGCTTCATAAAATTACGGTTGAACCACTGATGTCACATGGACTATTTTAACGATGTCTTTACTACCTTTCTGGGCCTTGAACGTGGTAGCTGCGTTGCTGTCTATGCAGGGTCAGAAAGCTCTCGGATTTCATCAAAAATATCTTAATTTGTTTTCCAAAGATGAACAAAGGTCTTGCGGGTTTGGAAAAACATGAAGCACATAAATGACAAAACTGAGTTTAAATAAACTTTAAATATATTGTTTCTACATATAGTCAACAACTTTAATGGATACTTTTATATTTCACCAACGATTTTAATTTGATTGTTCTTTCCCTCACTAAAGCCGTCAAGCACACAGATTTATACGTTTCTTTTTGACCGATTTTCAAATACCTTTTTGCCCTTCAAATAAAAAAATTGCAATGATGTGATTCACATCATAGCTGATTTTCTTAGTGCATGGCTTATATAACTCTTTAATAAATTTTTAAAACATCCTTATGGGAAACATGAATGGAAAAATTGCTTTGCTGATGAAGCCAACGCTGGGCGGCAATTAACACAACAAACGCAACTGGCAGCATGTGGCGTCTCATTTATCAAATGCCTGTCATTATTGCAAATAATCATCCAGTCATTATTGCTAAATAAGCCTTCTCAGGTGTTTATTTGGTGACAGTGACTGGCTGACTGTAGGTTATCTCTTACATATCTTTCTTTAAAATCACTCTATGGCTAAACATCCGTTACGTTACATTTCGTTTTCTTATTCCCTAGCTTGGAGGCATTAATCATCATCTTTATGAACTTTCTTTACATGCATCTCAGACCACTTTTGTCTCAAGTGTTATTGCATAAAGAACAGACTTGAGAGTTTTCTGTCTGTGTTGCTGAAGTCTGGTAAACACTGATTGTGCATGAGGACTCTTGAAGGCGATGTTTCACGTCAACACTCCGGAGGGTCAGCAGGCTAATGAGACAGTGTAATCACAGAAGAATAATTACAGAATCCCTCACCTCATGAGGTTATGAAGTTATGAACACAACCCCTTTAGGATTTCACATCAGTTGTGAATTAGGGATCCTACGGATTATAAATGCTTTCTCAGAGCGAGAAGAGGGTTTCCAGCTTTCAGTCTGAACAGCAATGAGTAACGGTGGAGCTGTGATTGGGGACGGTCATGAATTTATAAGTGTGGCTCTTAAAATTTAAAACAAGCTCTTGAAATGTTATGGGTACAATGAAATTGCAAATGACTAGAAGCAGTGAATGATGTTTTTATACAGAAAATGCAAACAAAACTATAGTAATCATGTTTCAAAAAGAAAAAAGGGCTAATTGGATAAAAATCTGCTTTGGTAAGGATCAAAGGATTGTTCCGAGGCATAAATATATATGTATATATAATACAGTATATAATTATAAGTTATATATATATATATATATATACAGTGGTGTGAAAAAGTTTTTGCCCCCTTCCTGTTTTTTTAATTGTTTGCATATTTGTCACACTTAAAAGATTCAGATCATTTTGTATTTACTTGCATTATCTTTGCGTAATATTAAAATTGGTTTGATGATCTGAATCTTTTAAGTGTGACAAATATGCAAAAAATAAAAAAAACAGGAAGGGGGCAAAAACCTTTTCACGGCACTGTATATAAAGTAAAAATATTTTAATATATACATATAATGAAAGTTAAATGGGGACTTACACTGCATATAAAAACAGTTGAAACATTCTTCAAAATATCTTTTGTTTCACAGAAGAAAGAAAGTCATACAGGTTTGGAACAACATAAGGGTGAGAAAAATGATGACTGAATTTTCTTTTTTTTTGTGAACTATTCCTTTATCTGGGGAGCTGATCGAGACAAACTCTTTGTAAACAGCATTCTTCGGTATTTCCTGTACAAACAGTAAAAATCAAATCCTCTGTGAAGTTTGATTTAGCTGACCCGTTTAAAACCAGACAAAGCCAAAAGAGCGAGGGGACATCTAATTTTCTTCTTTTCTATCCCATGAGCCTCTCTGCTTGTTTACGAGTGTTATTTGCATCTGTACTGGGGAACGGCTCTCAGGACAGCGCTGCAAAGGCACGTAAATGAATCCCATAATGAATGTGCTGCATTAATGATGGGTTTACTTCTAAATTAGATGCTCTTAATTAAAAGTGTTCAAGGTGCCTTTATGACTGGAGTGCATAGAAAAGAAATGGTAATCTGAATAAATCACAAACTTGCAGCATGCTGGTGGTTTTGATAGATCTCCCTGCTAAGAACGGCTTAAATGAAGCAGAAAGATATGTGTTAGAGCTAATGATTATCATTAGAGGAACCTTCGATTCAGTCCACCGCAGTTTCTCTCGTAGTTCGTCCAGGCGTATGATAGTTGACCGTTTCTGGGAAATTTTGTTAGGTTTGACATTTTATTGCCACAGTAAGGGGAAGGGTAATGACATTATCAAGTCTGGCCAGTGCTGAAAAGGATTTTTAATAAACTCTATAGACCAGTAGAGGGTACAGAGTCATAGGCTGCCCAATAATTATAACAATAAATGTGCTATTTAGTATTAAAAAGGAGAGGTCAAATGTCACTATTCCACTGATAATAGCCACCAATTTCACAAAGAAAAGGGCTGCAGCTCAACCGCTAGGTCTCAGTTATAAATCCGATCATCTTACACTGCAAAAAAGAATTTTAATCAGTCGTTTTTGTCTTGTTTTCCAGTAAACTCCTGTACTTTTTAAATATTAATAATAACTATTATTAATAAATAATAATTGGCATTATTGTTTTCAGAAAATATATCTTGGAAGTTCATTTTTTCTTAAATCATTGACCATTTTTGCATTGTTTTCACCATATATCTAACAAAACCTAGCAAGGGTTATGATTAAATCAAAACCAAAGGGGTAAGAAAAATGAATATTCTCTTAAATCACATCATTCACTATTTTGCTAATCAATTACATATATGATAAATTAGATATATTTTCTGGAAAACAAGACAAAACACTGAAAAGGAAAATGATTTTGCCACATAAGCCTAAAAAATCAATTGAGTTAACTTTTACCATTGATATCAATGTATAGATGAGGCATTGAGTTTGGAGGGTTTAGATTTTCCAGCAGACTGATTCATTTTAAGACTAGAACACAGAGCAGAAAAACATATCTACTGGTTAAAGTTGCTCATCAAAGGCAAATAGCTTGAAAGCAAACACGGAGTCTGGTGCATTTTTTTTTTAGATGTACAACATATCAATCTCAGGTATTGCAGTGTAAAAAGGGTGATAGGGGAGTCAATTAGTTCTCATAATTACTAAAAGGCCTTCAGTACAAAGCTAATTGATTTTCCATCTAATGAGTGCAGCGGTAATGAACCTGAAATGGTGGTTGTAGGCTTTATATATAAAAAAAAAAACCGAGGACAGAATGTTTTTGGGGGGTTTGGGTTAATGCTCTCATGATCATATATTTCACTGAGGAGAGAGCTTTCAGACCTTCTTATCATCCATTCAACGATTTAATGACAAACTATAATCAGGAACATTCTTGAGAGTTGAGTCGGGTTTATAATATAATTGTTCACTGTGACTGCTGAAATGAATATAGGTAAAATCTGTGATTTTGTGATGGCAGGTTGAAAATGATACATTTTTAATTAGGAATTCTAATTAGCTTTTAAAAAAATGATACAATGCGAGTAAATGAGTCTGGAATACACGAAAGCCTTTTTACAGATTCATTTATTTTAATCAGTCTTAAGTCTGTTGATGAAAACAAATTTTCCTCACTTCTCAACTTTAAAGTGTAATTTGCAATTTCAAGGTAGGTCATGTCATATAAATAAATGCATTCGTGAGACGCTCTCAGTTTTTCTAATGCTGTAACCTAATTTCCACTTGATACATGTGCATTGTTTTAGTCAAGTCTAAAAACCTTTATTGATGTAAAACCAGAGCTGGGGCCACAACATGGACACTTTGTTGGATTTATTGATGTTAGCAAGCTGAGTAGTTCAAAGCGTGAAGTTTCAGGAAACAACTAATGAACCTTACAGACCCAGACTTAAACCTTAAAATATGAAAATACATGATAAAATATGACTTATTCTTATACGATGACAATGTAAACAAAGAGTGAATATGTAGTACCATAACCATATAAATATTTATTGTGTTTATACCATTCAAAAGTTCACTTGGGTCAGTAAGATTGTTAATGTTTTTGGAGAAGTTGACAAGGCTGCATTTATTATTGAAAAATACAATAAAAATAATTATACTGAGAAGTATTATTACAATTTAAAATGTTTTTAAAATGTAATTTATTCCTGTGCTTCAAGGCTGAATTTTCAGCATCATTACTGCACTTTTCAGTGTCACATGGTCTTTCAAAAATCACTCTAATATGCTAATTTGCTGCTCAAGAAATATTTCTTATTATTATCAATGTTGAAAACAGTTGTGCTGCTTAATATTTTTGTGGAAGCTATGGTTCTTTTTTTTTATTTTTTTTTTAGGATTTTTTGATAAACAAAAAGTTCAAAAGAACAGCATTTTTAAAACTTCTCTGTTGTTTTATATTCTTTAAAAAATACCGTACCGTAGATTGTTATTATTTATAATACAACATATAGTTAACATACAGTTGTGCCCCTAAATTGTGGACGTCAATTCCATCATGAACAACAATTTTGGCCTTAAAAAATATGTATCAAAAATTTGTGTACTTGTGTATGAACATGAAATTCTTCTAAAGCAAATTATACAAAAAATGAGAAAATATTTTCAACATTGCCAAGGATGCATAAAATGCTAGCTATATATATATAAAGTAGCACTTGAAAGTATACATTCACAAGTAAATCCATTGTTTATACTAAAATATCAGTGGGCTCAGAAAACACTGGGGTTGTAATTCAGTCTTCTGTCATGTGGTTTGTATTGAATTGGAAGCGGCAGCATGTTCAGCTCTAAT